CAACTACGTTTGTGAGACAGAGGATGGTTGCTGTTGAAGTGTAGGATCTGTCTCCTGTCGGTGGATTTTCGGAATACTGGTGCTACTAGTAGTACTACTAGAACAACTACCACTAATAATAATACTACCAGCACTACCACTAATCCCCATGCAACATTAATTCGATCAGAGATTGGAGGTGTGCAGATGATTTAGGCTCAAGAAAATCCCCTGTCACTCTGATCTAACCACACTTACTAATACTAATTAGTTGCTTCCTCCTCATCTTAATCTGTCACTTCCTCTTTAATTTCTTCCACCAATGCATGTTTCGCTTACATCTCCTCAGTCTCCGTGAAAATCACTGTCATCAGCTATCTCTTCCTCGCAGCTTGCTTTGTCCTCCTCTAGCGCATACTAGTCATCCCTCTGCAACCAGAATTTACCCGTGACAAAACGTCTGTTCATAAAGTTTGCTGATTAGTTAACTGATCTAGTTTGTGCCTTCACGTTTCTGTTGTTTGGAAGTAAAGTACAGTCGGGCGATGAAGACCAATAAAACTCACATTGCTCGTTACAGGTCTCACTTACTAATTGTTCATCCAATATCTCGTAGAACAGAATCGCAATGTCCATCAGTGTTATCTTAAGAAGATTTCAGAAGGTAGACCTCCTGAATTACTCTTTTAAACATATCCAACATTTGCCCCTGCAATGGTGCCATCGACTCATATGAGGACTCGTTTTCAAAAAAACACATTTACACCCTGTTGAACAAAGAACCGTTTAAATTCTCTGCAGTATAAAGCACAGTTGTGCATCGGTTAGTAATTGCATTTCCATTTATGTGACACAATAACTCAAGCGTGACATAACTCAGTAGTCTCTATGCTGGCAATCACTAGAGAACCGTTGGCAACGGTAATGTAAAAGGCTCCACTCGTAAAACCCCCCATCACCATAATCCCCGTATGACATGACTCACAGTCTACCGACAGTTAGGTGGGCCCCTCTACCGTTCCGTCGTCGAACCGTTAATTTATGTCATTCGGCTCCTAAAGCGACGGTGTCTTCTTCGGCAAAAAATAACGCTGCCCCGCTTATTTGATTCCATACGAAGCCACGTCGCAGCTGGCAGTCGCACCAGGGTGGAGCATGATGTGTGTGCGTCAAACCTCGCATGTCTGTGTATTTACTATTTTCGCTGACCTCAAATCACCCAGATTAAGATCGAACGACAGGGACCTACTTTGCGCAGATCTGCCGTACGCTCACATCTGTTAGGCTCTTAGTCAGACAAAGTCACCATTTCTCAAGAAGGTTTGAGGAGCTTTGCAGCGTAAGCGTTTGCGCGAACAAAACACGCGGAATCCTCCACCATAATCATTACAAACTGCGCGAACACTCTTCAGTGAGTTTTTACCAACGGAAATGCCAGTGAGTCCGGCGACTGAGTGAACAGCTAACGTAGTGCGTGGGTTAGGCACTCACGGTTCTATACAGCCATTAAGCGTCATTCTACCGTCTTTATCTCCTCATCCGTTCCATCCTTCACCTCATTTCCCCGACAATGTCACCCCTCCCTTCATCCTTTTTATGCTCGTCCCATTCGCCTTCTTCCTCCTCATCTTTTCCTTCCCCCACCCTATATTTTCAGTCTACTCCCTCCCTATCTTCCCCGCTGCTCCTTCTACCCTACTTCTCCTCCTCCCCCTCCTCCACCCCCCACTATGAAAGCGTAGGAAGTGGGCGCATCATCCTGTATCATGCACAGAAATAATAATAATAATAATTGACTAAAACGAATAGGAACAGGTGAAGATGCCTATTCCTCAGTAATTATTGCTAGGAACACAAAGAAAAGGGCCAATACTTCGAATAAAATCCCGGAGTAATTTCTTCTTGACAGAGATGCAAACTGTTTTGTGGGATAAATTCAAGCTATGTTTACAAGTCGGATTTAAGTTCGGAACTGTGGACCCTTCTCACAAAATATTTATGCAATTTTATAGGTCATATGTATTTAGCAGAATCAAGGGCGACCCGACCTCTAGATGAAAGCATGTTACCTTATTAAAATCCACCCGGAAAAAGAAAGCACTTCTAGGTTGGGCTTTTCATAACAGAGTCCAGCAATATCTTTTGAAGGTGTGCAAACGCAAATAAATTATTTGAATTATTTGACTAACGTTGAAAGCAATGCGTGAATCACACGTACCGAAGACCGATCCGCTTATCTATTCGTAGTGGAGCTTTGAAGATAATTTAAAATGTCATCGAGGCAAACGCGTAAAGTGTTTTTGCGTTCTTGGTTTAGGTCGTTTTAACTTCACCACACCACAGCTTACCGTCATAAATAAGGTGTTGTAAGTTTTGAAATTTCGCCTCTAATACCATATAAGCTTTAATTTGCTGGTCAGCTTCTATTCCTTGCACAAGATTCCGATGCTCTGTCGTTTATCGTGTTCTTTTCAGCCAAAAAATTGGAAAACAGGATGTTGCAGAGTTCAGTGCAACAAACGTTATTTAAGTACATACTAAATTGAGCGGTAATACCTACACGTACTTGATGCAGCTGTGATCGTGGCTGATCAAACCGGGTTCGGTGTTGTATCGAAATGTACACCTCTACATGTGACCATCTGAGACAGTAAATCAGGAAAACGTAAACCACCGTCTCCGTCGGCGTTGGAGACCGGAAGCATAAGGTTGATGTACTGTGTCGACACAGTACTTCAACCTGGATCGATCGATCCAGGTTTCATGGCAGGATACGGTCCTTTGCTATACATTCCTCAACAGCACCACTGCGGGACATTTGGTAACGCCAACCTATTTATGTTTAGAGTCGTTTGCCCCAAAGTGTGCTTTGTTCTGGTCATAGATGCACCGCGGAAACGCGCTGTCCCTCTGAACGCTTTTGGTTCAGCCGACTGGTATAGCCAATTCGTCCATCCGCGACTCCAAGGCCTGTAGGTCACCAAAGCCTAGTCCCAGCTTACCGTCGACACAGTACTTCACTCTGGATCAATCGATCGAGGTTTAATGGCCGGTTATGATCCTTTGCTATACATTCATCGAGAGCACTCCTACGGCACATTTGGTAACGCCCACCTCTTTATGTTTACAGTCGTTAGCCCCAAAGTGTCACAGATGCAACTCGGAAACGCGCTGTCCCTCTGAACGCTTTTGGTTCAGCTGACTGGTTTAGCCACTTCTTCTATCCGCGACTTAAAGGTCTGTAGGTCACCAAGGCGGCATGGATGGTATGCGCGAGAAAAGCAGTCAGGCGCTTAGGCGCAACTGCAACACTACCGAAATCGGAAAACAGGATAGAGACTCTCAAAGCACCAGAGGATTCAGCTGATTTTGACAAGGACATGACATCTTCAATCTGGTCGTCCAAGAGCAGAGTGCTGATGTTTAAGCGAATTGACGGAGCTGCAAGCACCACCTCTGTCAAAATCATGTAATGCACCTTGGATAGTCTAGTCCATGGCCTAATTGAACACAGTGGACAATAACATACAGTCCTGTGGAACGATCGCTCGAATACCGACTGGGTGAGGGGGGTTGCTTTGGACCAGGAATTATTTGCTGCTAGAACTATGGTGGGCTCTGACTTGGGCGATGAATTTGCCGGCACGCCACGTAGTCCCCTCATCCGTCATAGGGGATCGTGATTCACAAAGTCGGACGTTTCTTGAAACAGACTAGGCAGCCGTGGGTTGCTGCTAGTCACGGTGGAATTCAAAAAGGGTCACAACGTGACTATTTGTCCATTGCGTCCATTCTCTGCGCGAGTAGCGCACACCTTTAAATCGCCTCAGAATTACAAAAACGAAAGCTTCCACATCATGGTCGACTGGACTCATGCCGCGGTGGCATTCACAAGCCGTCCAATCATTTACTGGAGCAAGAACGCCAGAGAGACTCTGCATGATTTCATTGACAAAACCGTCCTTTCCAAAAACTTTCACATAGAAGACATCTTCCTAAGATTGGTTCAAACATAAAACTTCCTAGGCTAAGGAGAGATAGAACTCTGCCATACATCAGTTTGGACGTCATAAGTGCTCATTCCAGCGTTCACCTCTGGTTGGTTTGTCCACAATGAAGCAGTCTTTCACATCGTTCACAAGATGGCCCAGTGCAGAGTGCCCAGCAATAACTTGACGCATGGTTTGGTAGTTCACGCGTTGCCGACGTTTGAGAACTTAGCCATTTAAGCCTACTAGATTTTGCGGCCATTTCCTGTCGAGTTTGCTGTTTTTAAACGGAGGCGACAGAAGGAATTTCTGGTATGGGACTAAGGATTGCGAAAGTATGCTCTTATTCGAGCACGCAAAGTGTGGCAAAGATGATTCTGTCCATGCATGGGACGGCAATGGGGGAAGGGGGGTTAGTCATCTTAGGTAGGAGCGTATTTTCTAAAGCGCATCATTACATTATGAGACCCATTTGTTTTCAGGAATGCAAGACATGGGTCAAACGATCTTACCGTGTGACGATGACGGCCCTTATCTACCAATTGTGTGGAAACGGTTTGAGAGTAACCTGAGAGCGCAATCGTCAGCGAAGCAAGAGTGGCAGACGTCTCTTTGTCGACACTAGTGCTCAAATCAGTGTTATTCCTCCAACAGCAACTGACCGTCGTTGTCTTAATCCTGACCTCCTCCTTCAGACCGTCAACATCTCGCCAATTTCCAGGTTCGGTATCCGCCCACTCTCACTGGACATTGGCCCCCGTCGTCTATTCCCTAGGTTCTTTGTCGTTGCCAACGTGCCCTGTGCTATACTTGATGAAGACTTTCTTGCCAGCTCTGATCTTCTGGACGACTGTCGTCAGTCACGTCTGCAAGACCAAACCACCAACCTGACCGTCCGAGGAATCCCTTCGTCTGACGCGTCCCGCCGACTTGCCGTCCTGGACCCTGAACCTGCGAATCCATTTTGACAACTTCTCGCCAAATACCCTGGTTTAAATCGTCCAAACTTCAGCGCAACTGTCCCACCGCATAATGTTGTTCACCACATCCGAACCACTGGCCCTCTCGTGTTTTCTCGGCCACGCCGTCTCGCGCCTGCACGTCATGCTGCCGCCAAGGTCCAGTTTGTGCACATGCTTCAGATGGGCAGTGTTCGTCAATCTGAGAGCGCATCGCCCCTTCTTATTGGTTTCCCAGGCTGCTTCAGGTGACTGGCGCCCCTGCGGTGACTACAAGGCCTTGAACAGCGTAACTATCTCGGACCGCTATCCTGTTCCGCATCTTCAGGATTTTACCGTAGCCCTTTACGTCAAATCTGTGTTCTCGAAGATCGACTTGATCCGTGCTTTCCACCAGATTCCCATCGCTCCGGCGAACATTCCAAAAACGGCCAAAATTACATTCCTTGGCCTCTTTAGACTCCGCAACGCCTCACAAACCTTCCAAAGATTCGTAGACAAAGTACTTCATGGCCTACTCTTTGTTTACGCCTATATCGACGACCTTTTGATTGCCAACTCCTATGCCAAAGAACACATGGAGTATCTTAAAACGCTGTTTAACCGCTTTCAAAAATTTGGCGTCGTTCTCAACCTGTTCAAGTGCATTGACTACCCCGAGGTCCTCGGGGATATGGTTGACTCTAGGAGCATCCATCCGCTTCCCGCGAAGGTTGCGGCCATCAGTGACTTCCCTTCTCCCTTTCCCAAACTTCAGCTCCAGCGATTTCTGGGCATGGTAAATTTTTAACGCCGGTTCCTCCCGCATTGTGCCGACCTTACTCTGCCGCTCACGAACCTTCCCTCCAGTCCCAAACATTCGTTCAAGCTGTCTGGAGACACCGTCGCTGCTCTTGACAAGATGCTTGCTGCCCTGGCCGACGTCACCCACCCGACGCACTTTTCTTCCGATGCTCCCATCGCCCTCATGGTTGACGCCTTCAATTTTGCTGTTGGCGCAGTTCTTCAACAAAGTCTCCCGGTTTCGACGGTGCATTTGGCCTTATTTTCAAGAAAACTCTCTGAGACCGAAACCCGCTACAGCACTTTAGTGCGCGAACTTCCTGCTGTTTATCTTGCTGTGAAGTACTTCGGGCAGTTACTTCGATTTCGAGAGTTCGCCATTTTCACGGACCACAAGTCAATTTCCTTCGCACTTCACTCAGTTTCCAACAGGCTCAACCCCCGGGAAACCCGTCAACTTGACTGCATCTCTCAGTTCACCTCAGCCACATTGACGGATCAGGCAATAAGGATAGCTGACGTATTATCCAGATCCTCCATCGCTCCCCTTCACCTTGGTCCCGGGATCGACCTTGCTAAGATGGCAGCGCAACAACGCCGTGCCGGTTCTCCCTGTGATGGGAATGTTTCCGGACGCCAACTCGCGAGAAATTTGTGAGCGTGGACCGTCCCAAAGCTGCCGTCCCAGAAGGAAAATAAAGGATGATTTTCTGACAAAAGAGTAAAATAATGCATGTTCATGTGCGTGTTTTCTATAACATATTTCTGAATCTATAAGATCGTCGAAAGTCCATGTAAAAAATGAATGTTACTTATGTAATCATCTTTTTATCGAGTCCGTCCCTGAATAGGGTCGAAAACAAATACATTTGAAGGCCGAACGTCTGGCGCATTCAAAATACTATAGAATTATGCCCTTTGATAATCAATTTTACAGCCCCACTTAAGTAGTACTTCGTAGTCGAAAACGTATTTCAGTATTTTGGGCTCCTCTCCTACCACAGGGTATTCACGCAAGTCTTTAGTCAATCATCCTATCGCGACATATTAAATCAGAGCTGTAACTGTTCTACCTCCTATATTCCATATCTGGCTTTAGGCACAAAAATTGCCCATCGTCCAATAATTCCATTTCATTCTGAGCTGGCGAAAGTGCATCAGTGCTCAGACCCCCCGGAATGAATATATTCATGCTGTCCTGGGAAGTAATTTTTTTGAGGAAGAGGAGGAGGAACAAGTAGGAGAAAGTATACAATCATCAAATCTCAAAAAGAAGCAGGTTGCCATTATTGTAGAATAGTGTTTCATAGGAGTCCGCAAATGACATCCATCTCAAGAGTATGTTTTATTCCTGAGAATGAAGACTTTCAAGTGCGAAGAATTTATTACTAGGGGAATAGCAAGGTACCACCAAAGCTTGATTTGTCTGCCCGGTCGCTTTTTGAGTAGAATATGTGCAATGGCTTTGCGTTTTCGTGTGCTTGTAATGCGTCGCTGTGCGGCTGCTGGTTGGGCTCGAGAGAGAGCCCATAAGGCACAACGGAACGAGAACGATCGTTGAGCGCCGATTGTATATTCCCGATCAAAAACCGACAGGGCAACGGACTCGTGACTCAGTGGTTAGAGGCGTGGACTTCTAAATAACAGGTCGCGGGTTCGAGCCTCGGGTTTTCCACACTTCGGGGTTGGGTACGGCTGGCTGACAACGGCTAATAAGCCAGAAATGGCCATTCCAGTCTCCCTTGTCTTTGTCAGTAATGCCATTCTGCCTATATCATGCGCCGCCGTGCGGCTGCTGGTTGGGCCCGAGAGAAAAAGCCGATAAGGCACAGCGAAACGAGTGATCTCCATAAGACCAATCGGTGAGAGCGCCCACTACCATATGTATATATTAAGGAAGGTGAAATTCTTTAGGAAAGTCTAAACTTCATTGTGTAAATTTTCAACACTGGTTCCCAAGCTTGTCTTCAGTAAACGGGCATGCAAAAAAATAACTTCTAGAATGAGTCTGACAAAAGGATTATGTGATTGTTCAAGGTCATTTTCCCGGGATTGGTTGAGTCAGTTTGAATCTGTCCTTAACGATTTTGTATGTGGCATCTAAATCGATATGCCGGTTGATGCAGTTTTCAGTGTCTGCATGGCCACTTGGGATAGAGGGTCGCGTCTCTTTACCGTTAACTGATGCTAATGCATACGGGTTGAGACAGAATTCCCAGTTTGGGCACAATAGACGGCATCACAACTAGAACAAGGGATTTTATAGACAAAACCTTTTCTTTCGATGTAGCCACCCCTGTCCTTAGGGTGTACAAGCCGTGTGTGTAAGGTTGTTGCTCGCTGGTGTGTTACGTGTATTTGGCACTTTTCAATTGTTTTTCGACTAGTTCAGATGCATTTTTCACGTATGCGAGAGTTCGCCAGGTGGTTGGTTTTGGTGTCCGAGCGGGGATAGCATTGAAAATACTCTTTCCCTAAAGTTGCAGCTGCCTCATGCATTAACGTTTAAAGTCATGCGGGTACACATTTTGGGAGAATAGTTTGTAGAGGTATTTCATTTCGGCTCGATAACTTGTTTCTTTCCCCTGACCAAACCACATGCCACTTTGCAGCTGCGCTGCTCTCCTGGCCGTTCTCGCCGTACCTTCTTCCGAAACCATCATCGTTCCCGTTCTAGGCCTAGCGCTACCACCCTCTGCTGGCACATCGTGAATTTTGGCGATAAGTCTCCGCGTTGTGTCCCACCCTGCTCATTCAAGTCTCCGCAGGGAAACCTCCCGGCCGGGGAAGTGAATGTGTCCGAGCTCTCTGGCAACCCCACCGGCAGCACATTTTAGGTCTGCGACAGTATGAGTGGCAAAGGTTTCTTTAGTCCTTCTGCCCTCCTTGTCCTCCTCCTCCTCCTGCTACCCCTCCTCATCCACCTCCACCCCCTTCTCCTCCTCCTCCTCCTCCTCCTCCTCCTCCTCTTCCTCCTCCTCCTCTTCCTCCTCCACCACAAATGAGTGACAGCTTGTCGCGACTGCCATCAGAGCCGTTGTGTGTCCTTCACTCTAGTGCAGCTTGTTCAATCAAACTGTCTTCCTTGACTCCTGATTAGTGAAAATGAGCTGTTATTGAATTTCTGTGCGTGTAAGGCTTAGAGGTCAGTATGTGCTTCTGCATCAACTCACTGCTCCCTCATGCCTCCACTTCTGATCTCTCCTAGTTAAAATCTTTTCCTTACTGAGGCGGCGGATGCGGTAGGAACGAATATTACTGAGTCACCTCTGCCTCGTTTATACATCACCCAGCTATGCACTGCCTCTAAGTGTTCTCTATTCTTTTCTCTAGATACATTTTCCCCAAAATGAATGTGTTAGTTGAGATAAGTCTCCCAGTTCTTCAATACTAGACTGCGGAAGGTAATTTCGATGCAAAAATGTTACCACTACGCCGCTCGTGCTTTTCCAGTTTATTGCTCTCGACGGAGCAGTGGACTCGAGCACTGGATGAGGATGCTAGGGTCGATGTCATCTACACGGACTTCAAGAAGACGTTCCACTGCGTCCCACACAAACACTTAATCTGCAAACTTTCAGTAATAAGAATGAGAGGAAGGCTGCGGACATGGATAACAGATTTTCTTACAGAGAGATCGCGAAACGTGTGCGTTGAGGCCTCGAGGTCAACTCCTACCCCCCTTCTTAGTAGGGTACCACAAGGCTCCGTCTTAGGGCTGTTCCTATTCCTGGTTTACATGAACTACTGCGTCGACGACATGGAATGCAACGTCATCATGTTTTTCGACGATCTTAAGCTGTGGAGAGCCATCAGATCTGACGCAGACAGGTACGCGATTTAAGACAGTCTCAACCGCCTGAACAGTTGGTCAGCCCGTTGGCTCCTTAATATTTATGTGGACAAATGTGTGGTCCTGAGACTCGGTACCAGAATGACCAGTAAGGAAGACGACGTCCGACGGAACGCCTTCTCTCACAGGGTCATTGGGGCATGGAACGGACTCCCTGACACGATTGTTCTTTCCGAAATTGTCGAATCTTTTAAGTTTAGACTAAATGCTCATTTGCTGAGAAAGTACGGTACATATAACCCCGCTTGTTTTAGCGGCGCAAGTTTGCACCTGGCTCACACTTACCGCCAAATTTTGAATTTCCGCATTTGCTGATGTAATTATTGATTCTATTAATGTTTATCGATATGAATAGGGAGTTCAGGGGCG